CCACCACTGGCCTCCTAGCGGAGATAAGCTGTCTTGTAGGGTCCACCTTCGCAGGAACTCGTGGTATCAGCACTGCGGATACTCTAGCTGTTAAGTTAAAATAAGCCAAAGTGCGGGAACCAATAGCAATTACATTGTTTCAGCCAGATTACCAAAGCTAGAATGGCCTGGAACATAGAAACCAAACATATGCCAGCCCCCGATCAAGTATTCAGAATAGGCGGCGCCATCTAGCGCGATCATAGTGAACCAAATCACAACATTGTTATTGCAGAAACATCGTGCATTGTTCGTCTGGTGCAAAAACGGCGTAGCGGCATTATTACAAATGAGTTACCTTTTTAATCATTTTCACCACAAGAACATTACACGTAAGCCAACATGTTCATGACTGTGCTTGCACGAAGGGTCACAAGATGTCAACACTATCGTTACAGTAACCTTGTATTTCTCACTTTTTTACGTATACCAGGATGTTGTACACGATAAAAAAAGTTTCATGATTTTGCCACAACAGTTATTAAATCCTATGTAAGTTACATGCAGTTGGAATGCAGTTAGCATCACCATTTATGGTTTGCAAAAACGTAAAGGCATACATGTTTACGTATGAGGAGCTCAAAACGTTGGAAGAGGCGCGTTTCGGTAAGGCGGTGAACGCAAACTGGTATCCGGTAACACGCTAACGTAAAGAAGTATACGTACAAGCTAAAAGTTACAAAGAGTTACACGTTACACTGTTTCTCTGTTGTCGCGCTTTTTTGGACTACGACCGGCCGTCTGGTTTGCTTGGCATCATGGAGAAAGGAGTTTTCCTTCCTCCATGCTTGGCATCGACAATGCCGGCTTCAGTCGCAAGTGTGACGCATACGAAAGAGCTTTTTTTTGTTTCGTGTTGATAACTGTCATATTATTTAAAAATGATTTATTGAAATTAGTTTATTTCATGTTACTATGTATGTTTAATTTAACATTTTAAATCGTAAAAATAATTAAACAATACTTACGCGACAAGACGCTATGGCGCTGCGAGCGCGTGTGACCTTCGTGCGGCTCGCGTTTGCGTGCGCCACGTGCACACCTTTATAAGGCGTTTCAGTTGCTGCTGTGCAATGAAGAGGCCGTTTTAATTAATGGAATGAACCGCACCTTGCAGAATCGGGGCGCGTTCTCTTGCTGCGTGCGCAGCTTGTATGATTAAGAGATTGAATCTCAGTGATACGGACGATGGGGAAAACTGAGTAGAGTCGCAGCAGGTGGTGCGCTGCCCCTACTCGCCCGGCTAGCTAGGGAAAACGTAGCGTTCCCGTCGTGGCGCGCGATCAACGTGGCACAATCAGCTGTGAAAAAAAAAAAAAAGAAAGAAAGAAAAAGAAAGAAGGGGGCGGGGCAGCGCACTACCTGCTGCGACTCTATTCAATTTTTCCTGTCGTTCCTATTTCCGATGGAGGCGGAGATGTTGTAGGCCCGTGTGCTCAGATTTGGGTGCACGTTAAAGAACCCCAGGTGGTCTAAATTTCCGGAGCCCTCCACTACGGCGTCTCTCATAATCATATAGTGGTTTTGGGACGTTAAACCCCACATATCAATCAATCAATCAATCAATCCTGTCGTTTCTAATACTGAGACGCGATCTCGTAATTGTGCACACAGCAAGAAAATGCGGCCCGACTTCTGCAAGGCGCAGTTTATCCCATTAATTAAAACGGCCAGCGCCGCTCACGCACTCGCGAACAAGTTCATCGCACAAGCACTCGCGAAATGCACAATGAACGACGCGTCGTTGCTTCTCTAATTCCGAGAAAATATCTCTTAATTGCACAGCAGCACACACAGCAAGAGAATGCGTCTCAACGTCTGCAAGGCGCAGTTCAGTTTATTCATTAAAACGGCCAGCGTCCCTTGCCGGGTTCGGCAAGGGTAGCTCATGCACTCGCGAAATGCACTGCAGACGACACCAAACCCTAGCGGAAAAGTCACAACTTCAGGGACAAATTTTCCGCCAAATTTGGCAGCAGTCTGACAACAACCATCCCTAAGTCTGACTACTGATTTATGCAACGCCTAACAGAACCTTGTCGACGCGTGCACATTTGTCGCACATAGGTGTTGCCAAACTGATAAGCGGCCTAGTTGGCGAATGAGCACACGGTGACCACATCAGCTTGCAAGTGTGCCTCTGCGGAAAACATGCAGCGGGCATTGAAAAAACGTCATTTATCTGACGCAAAACAGAAGTAGTACATATCTGGTGCTTATTGAGAAAGCTGAATTTGCAAATTATTGATAAACAGCTTTTCCATGCTACTGTTTGCCCAAAATGGACTTGTGTTTTTGCATGATTTCTCGGGATTCAAATTTTGCTGCAGTTGCAAACTTGTCTAAAAGATACCTCTGCCTCTAGAGCAGCTAGGAATGTCATTTTTGTTGTGACATGTAGCTCTGTCTTAAGTTTACACAATGGCAGGTGTGAATTTTCGATCGAGATCTTTTATTTTTGCCAGAAATTGGAGCATTAAGTGGGTGTGTCTGTAGCACTGAAATGCAAGGTGCGACAAACCTTGCTGAAATTATCAGATTAAAAAAAAGCACTTCTCCCGTTGTGTAGCTTATATTCAATAGTACACAGGCATATGCCAATAGTAGCTCTGCAATACAAATTTCTTGTGTCATCATACTGGCAAACAATAGGTAAATAATTCTAGGATATCTCAAAAACTAATTGGTTTAGAGGAACAGTAATTGCATTTTTGAAATCAGCATCAAAAACTCAATCACACTGTGAATTGTTTTTATAAACACATGAAAATATCTGGCATTTCGTCTCAAGTACAGTGTCCCCTCCTTCAGTGAAAAAGTACAAATTCTTCAGAGATGGGGCCTGTTAGCTGGCCATGCATTTTGTATATTTTATAATAACTGTTTTATCTTTTCTTAGTGTTCTTACAAACTGTTCAATTATGTACTGCAATTTTGAATTCGAAAGTTTGTATTGCTTGCATACATCTTGATAATGAAACATCCATGGGTGGAAAGTTCATTCATTATGTTTTTCCTTCATATATTATTAGTAGGCTTGTGCAAATATTTCAATGCTTAGAATATTCGGACAAATAGTAAAGAATTTGAGCTCGCTTTGATTAGAATTTACTTCGATTCAAATTATTAAAGATTTTGAAGTATTTGCAATGAATGAATAGATTACATGCACCTCTACAAACGCATATAACCGCTTGTAAAGGTGGTTTCACGGCAGAGGAGGGATGCTAAGCCGTGAAAGCATTTTTTTTTTTAGGGGAAATTCGTTTTGCCGCGAAGCCCCCCCTTCAAATGTAAATGGACCCTGCAAACTGCAACACCTTTTGAGTCTTGTCAGAAAATACTGGTGATCGGAAGTCGAGGCTACCAAGAACACGCGAGGCAAATATTGCAGCGCAGTACGCGGCCTGCAATCCGCAATAAATTCTCCAAGTCGGCTGAGAATTGCTCTTTTCTCACGCTAATGACTCTACACGCTCAAAAATCACTTCTCACAGCCATTGTATCCGCCATTGGCTGATTTGAGCATGACGTGCTCGGTCGTTACTGGGGCCGCCTCATGAGGCGGCCGTCACTTATCCACATGCGAGTGCACGATATGTCATACATACCATTAGAAATTATTTGACCAAAATCACTATTCGCTTCGACCTAACATTCATTATTCGCACAAGCCTATATATTAGTACATGAGATATTAGGGGCAGTAGTTCTTTCAGCTTAAAAGATCCAGTGCAGCCTACAAAAAACGCTCATGTTACCCATGCTACTGTAAGAGTTAAGAATGCTCCACGCTCCTCAGTTTGCATTTTTTGTAGGACTATCCTGGATTTATATTATGACTGGCAGATCTCTCTTGCTGTGTTTGATCACTTTTATATGACTTTCGTAAGTACCTGATCTGTGTTTTAGTTGTACTTATGCTGTTTTTGTCTTTTTTTTCATTTATATGGGCACAGCTTCAACTACGGCATCACCCAGAAGTTTCGTATAAAAATAAAACTGGCAACAATGTGTCGTATTGTTAAGGGCAAACAATTGCCCTTAACAATAACTTTCTACTGCCAAAAGTTTGCACCAATTATGGCAAACAAACCATTCGTTTTTCCGGAATTTCTTTTTGGAATAGTTTACCTTCCGACATTAAAGTATGCCGTTCCCTGAAGGTAATTAAATCGAAGTTAAAAAATCATATGTCAACTAACTAGCCTGTTTTGCTGTTTCTTAATTGATTCTTGTTCATTGTGAGTTGCGTTCTGTAATCATTTGTCATTGAAGTTAGTGCGTTTTTCTTGCTTTTAAATTGTTTCTGTGAGATTACAAGGGTATATTCTTACTTTATTTGTTTCAATTGCATTTTACTGTAGCTCTGTCTCCCTGCTATGTACATCACAATCATTCTCAATTCTATATTGTACAAGAGGTCCCCTTGCAGTCTCTGACTATGGGATCTTTTTCTCTACATCATGCACATGTATTCTTCTTCATTCAGCACAATAAAACCTTCTGTTCTGTTCTGTTCTGTATGCTCTATGCATGGCTGAGGCAGTGAATAAATGCGCTGGCCATCTTCATTGCCTGAAATAAATATAGATAAGAGCATTTGGTGGGAGGGGCTCTTTTAGGCGCTGTGACTTGCCAGCAGCAGTCGCATTTTCTTGACAGGAATCGACTGACAACTCAAATCTTTTTACACACTTTGTTCTCATCTCAAAAGTTTGTAGTGAAATCATAGATAGTACAAAGGTCAGTTCACTCGTTGCAGTAGTCACGTTTCCTTATGCCAGCATTTCGTTCAGCTATGCCTGGTCGGATGCTCAAGGAGTGAACAGCTGCTAGCCTTACGTGATACGACATTCCAGTTTGTTGCTATGGCACTCATTGCATGAAAGGTGTGAAACTGTGTGAAATGACCTTGTATATGAAACTGTGACTTTATTTGCCTGTCTCTTTTTCTATAGGTATGGCCCCCAGAACCTGTCTTTGATGAAGTTCATGCCACTAATTGCCAAGCTACTTGGAGACCCCAATTCACAGGTACATTATAAAACAGTGTATCATGCTTTTGCACAGAAGAAAGGTGAGCATTATATTCGTCTGAATGTGGGAAAAGTATAGATTAGTTTATTGATTTGATTGATATCTAGTTGTTTCGGAATGGAGTCTTCGCTCTTTGCAGTCTTGGCGACTCTTTTAGGGACTTTCAAAATTTGAGGCAGTGTGTTCTAAAGTAGACACAGAAAATTAAGAAACTGTGACAACAATAGAACGCTTGAAATGGGCTGCAATACACAAGGCCGAAGCATACAGGATCAAGCTGCTTGTGGCCATTCCGAGAGATGGGCAAAGCGGCTCTTATTGGCTGAGATCAGGGTTCACTGCAAACTGGTAGACTAGGGCTGCTCACCCATAGCCAGGAGGTAGCAGTGCAGTTCGAACTTCATTCGCAAATATTGTTTAAATAAAAACTAAGAAAATTATCATGCCTATATTGTTCTATGCAATTGTAACGTGCCTCTTTGATATATGAGCATGAATTAGAGCTCAAGAAAATCTTTTATAGCATTTTTCTAGTGCCTATAAATGCCAATTTTCGACATTTGTGTCTGAATTTCTATAAGTGCCTATAAATGCATTTTTCTCAGAATACGTGCCTATATGAACGTAATTTAAACTCAAGTTTTGCTTTTGAGTACAGTTGGAGACAGGTATTCATGTTACCAGACAAAATTGAGCTTTCAAGACTCTGTGGGGTGAAACCTATACACCATCTCATAAGCTCCTTTCAGCAATGTCAAGGCTACAAGGCCTTTTAGTCAATAGGAAGGCTGATTCGCCTCTGCACATTGTTGTGACTGGGAGTCCAGACTGAACGTCATTGACTTCTGCAAAGGCAACGAGTGTCAAGGCCAGTGAGCGAGCCCGGCTGATGCCATCACCATCAACGGCATCTTCACAACACATGGCCAAGCTCCTTTCACGCACTGGTCCGATTCCAGCCCTATGATGCAGTAGACGTCGTCTAGCCCGGTGGTGCCAGCACGTCTTACGGAACGTGCGGCAATACCACTCGTTCTTGGGTGCAATCTATCGGCTGTTTCTAATTGGTGGCTGCTGACGCAAAAACCAGTAGCGGTTTTGATTGGACGTTGCTGACGTAAAAAATCACCAGGGCCTATAAAGGACCAAGTGGCGCGACTCCAAGCAGTAGACCTATGTGTCGGAGAGTAGACAAATACATCTCGGCTCTTGGAGTTCCTAAGCTGTCGGCCCCAGTGCCGAATATGTAACGCCTCTGTTTATGCTGTACATAAAGTTGCCCTAACTCATCGTCGTCTTGTCTGGTCGTCTATCAGCTCTGCGCAGAAGCAGCCGCGAGCTAAGATACATGCGCTACCAAACAGCGGAGAAATCCCGGCCCGTTACCTTGGTGGCACTACGCAACAGTGGTGATAGCAAAGTGCTTCCTAACAACATGTATTAATCCGTGTTGCATCGTCTGTACGGTATCCCCCCGGCATCTGATTGCATGCATAGAGAACAGGAGGTGCTTCTGTGAAAGTGCAGGACGATGGAAAATGAAGAGTGTATATATAAAAAAAATGTCCACGTGGCTTTTCTTTTGCTTGTCATTTTCTTCCTCAACGGCGCTTCAGTAGGTCAAATGAGAAATTTTACTTAGACACTGGAAATTGTTGCAAGCCCAATTAAATGCTTTGCACCACTAGAACTTAATTTGTTCATTACAAGCTGCGAAAACATGATGTGAGGAGGTAAACTCAAAACTTCTGCCGTTCGCCCGGTTTAGACTTCGCAAGACCAATTCCTTTTCTGTCCTCTTCGGTATTGAAGAAAGTCGGAGCCAGAAAATCAAATGACACAGAGGCATCAACACGTCATGGGCATGCAAGGTTACAATTGCGTGACATGCCCATGCCAGGTCGTGCACGCAAGCGCCGTAGTGTCATTTCGACATTCTCTGTATTATACTGCCAATTTCTGTGGGATGGATATCTCTATGCTCGCATGTTTGGGGAGACCGGCATGGATCATGTATCCTTACCACAATACACAGCACCGCACCGTTGGAACTGTTCTAAAGGACAATGCACCAAAAACACGCCAAGTATTGTGAATGCTGCCAGCACTATGCGGCAACGGTGGGAACATCAACAAGAACGAAATGGAGGCAGCTCAGTCTTGCATCTCGCTCAATATGAAGTTAAAAAGAAGGCGCGTAGATTCCATTTGTATATTTTAGTATTTCTGTCAACCTTTGCACAGGGAGCCGAGGAAGCCGTCTGAACCCAAGGGCTGATGCCTAGGCTGGTCCACCCCAAATCAACTTGCTGGACATTATTAATAAAGTTCTCCTTCTGTCAACCCTCATACTTCTATCCTTGTTGTATACGTCAGCTCTATGCTTTTTGGGTGTGCGCCCATGAGATAGTCATGCGGCATACAGTCTATTTGACCTCTTTCCGAAGCGCCTAGCATTGCAAATCGTAGCAGATGAGAAGGGCCCAGGGCATGTATTCCTCTTGTCTGTCTTAAATTTTCAAACCTGGTGAAGGGCCCTTTAAGGTGTTCACAGACAGAAGAGAAATCGACCCTGTGTGGTGGTTAGACCAAGTAAATGCGAGGTAAAAAGACCCTCTGGCCTGTTTGCTCCTGTGTCAAAAAAAAAAAAAAGACCCAAGGTCATTCGATGGTGCTCATTCGATGGCGGACACTTAATTCATCATGCTGGACTAGAAAAGGAGAGACCGTATTCTGCAACCCCTTCGGGGAAAAAATTGGTATGCTAGACTATTGTGCTCATTGTACCATCATAAACTAAAACATTTTTTGTTTGCTTTCCTGTCATTGACACACATCCCACACGTATTTTTTGAAAATTTGAATATTGACGAAGTTTATTGTGCCTATATTTATGAATTTGGGGGCATAAAACAATGCTTTTTCCCGCCTAATTTTTGTGCCTATAGCCCGATTTTTTGTGGCTCTAAATCCAGCCTTTAATCATCGTCATCGTTAAGCAACTTGGTAAAAGTGGTGACCTTTTGGAAGCGTCCTGGTGACTTTGCAAAATAAAAGTAAAGACCACTGGCGTGCGTCTACAGTGTGACCTTATTGCCTTGCGATTTTTTTGTACTGTGTGGAATCTCTAACCCTTATTGCCTTGCGATTTTTTTGTACTGTGTGGAATCTCTAAAAAAGATCGCTACTCTCAGAACACACGGACACAGCAGATGCGGTCGGACCAAATCAAATATATCACTAGTGATCAATAAGCTACAACCAAAATCAATCTTACAATATTTCAATATACACTCAATCAAACACAAGAAAAAAAACACTAGGTACAACAACTCTACAATATTTCAATACAGCCTATCAAACATATGAGCAAACACAAGGTAACATGCAGGCATCGTTGCCGATGTCAGACTCACCGCTAGGGACCCATGGGAGACAGCCCGCGGTCGCTGCATCCCGTGGGACTCCATCAGGAGACGACCATCCACGCCAACCGCCATGCGCCAAAGAGAGCCACCCATACCTTATGCGCCGCCTCCAGCCTCGCCACCAGGCGTCGCTGCTGGTGCTGCCACGCTAACCATGATGGTGTTGGTGGTGGCGATAAATGCGTGCGAGCACAACGCCATCTACCACTTGATGGTTGTTAACCTTAAATGCAGCCTATCCTGCGACACTTCTGCATCGTGAGGCGCAAGTGATTTTACAGGGGGTAATAGCAGCTCCAAAATTCTAAGAGCAAACGAGGCGACAGTAGAGGAGATACGAAGCAAATAATGGGACATCTTGAAAACAGTTAAAATTGCATTAACTGATGCACATGCACTAAACTTAAAATTAATAAAAACAAAGGCATAAGCGACAGTTCATAGAAAAGCACATTGTTCCAGTAAAGCCATTGCCATTACTTTGTACCGGCATGCCAATACATTGTTGCTTAATGCTTTCACATTACTCTATGTCATGGCAGTTTGAAAAAGGTAGGGTTGGCACCCTTTCTTGAACAAAAAAACTGCCCTTGGGAGGGATGAGTTACTAGTTGATGAAATTAGTGTTGAACAATAGACGTCAAGTCTTTGGCATGCAGTACCATTTTTGTTACATTGCTTTCCTTGAGCCAAATAAACCTGATATACAAACAAAAACAGTACACTAAGCTTGCCTACTACAGGGAAATCTCAATAAAACGAGTCTCAAGAGACCGCTAAAAATAATTTGTTATTTTAAAAAGTTGCTTTGAAAAGTGAAAGTATTAGAGATTTGTGCAAAAATGGTAAACGCAAACACGCGAGTGGCCTACCTGAGCTGTGCATACATTTGCGACCGCCTTATGCTGCTCAAATAAACGTGAAAAAAGAAACTCGGAATATTATGGAATCTGTGCACGTTTATTATGAAAAAGTGTGATCTATCCTGATGTGGGCCACTCGACTGCTGAAAGACTAACTCTTAAGTGCGTGCATCCTCCTAACGCGTTACGAAGCGGTAGCGTTAAATACCGATTTTTCACGTTGGTTCGCACGTGCTGCTTCAACGTCTTCGCTCTTGTCGCAGTTTCCTTATCACGACAAATGATATGGGTCTTATGGAAGGTCACGTGCATGCTTTTTCGTCGCACTGTGTGTAGTGTACGAGAGATGCATGGGTAATCATAGGGGACTTCATCCCATAGGTCGCTCGGGTCGCATTTTTTACTGCCATAGCATTCCTTTCATGTGGCCTCCAGAGGTCTTCTTGAACGTTCAACCGTGTACCAAAAGGCTGGTAAACAGGCGTGAAACAAGCGCGCAGGTCAACCTGTCCAACGAAAACAAAGCCTACGGAGCGAAGCCTGATGCGAAAAAAAAGTACTAGGCGATGGTGATGGCGATAGGGCTATCGCACATTTGAACAAGGCGGGCAGGTAGAAATATGCGGGCGTTCTGATGATGACGATAGTGGCATGGGTGGGGCTGGGCATTATTTCTACAGCTGCGAGTAACTTTTTGAAATCGCTG